AATGACCAAGTTGCTGGTCCCAGTTGTGGTCACTAAACGAGGACTACCTGTACCAAGGTAGAGCATACACAGTGCCATTGAACTGTAGCAGCCCTTCAGTACCAAATATTGTCTTGCTATATTTTGGAGTAAATGTTGCAATAAAGCGGGCCGAACAATGCCAGCACAAGATATTTTGCAGTGTCACCTCTCAACTGTGGCTGATATTTTAAAATGGTAACAAATATGGCCTGCCTTGTTCAGGCAACAATTCTTGCCTTGATTCATTACCACTCTGCAGCTTCTGCCACCACGAAAAGCTTTGTTTTTCCAGATAACAGCTGGCTTTGAAGCTTCATATCCTTGATTTCAAAAGAGACATAGTGTTTCTTCTTTTCAGACTTACTGTTCATCAGGATGTTCAGATAAATATCAATTGTGTATGATGGATTCTAGTAATTTTGTGAGGATGAAACGTATATAGATAATCTCTACTGAATATTTTTTTATGGGGCAATCATGTTTCCTATACTTTTGATGTGGATATGCAAGTAAAGTTTAAATAGATGTTGCTTTCCACTGAGATTAGTCCTCCCACTTGCCTTTCTAGTACAAAAGCAGAGGCTGGGTATTATAGAAATCAAACAATTCACCAATATAAAGTTCATCTGTAGATTTTTTAAAATCAGAACTGTATAGGTCTCTGGAAGCAAGTAAATATATTTAAAAAGCCTGATTGCCAGCATGAAAGAAAATAGGCATTTGAAGTGTTGGCTGAGAGATCAGTTCTAATTTGTGAAAATATATATAATATTTATAAATGAATATTCTGTCTTTCCACATAAAATGTGTAAGGCTATTATTACTAAAAATACACAGTAAAGTAATATTAGAGAGCAAACAAAAAATATCATTTTATTAAAAGTTATGTTGGCAGTCAAAAATTACATATTGAAATAAATTGGTGTATTGAAAATTACATGAATAGTGAGGTTTCAATTCCAATGCTTATCCTGGCTTAGCTTCTTTTGAATTAATCCATAAACAATTTATTGATGTTTTGTAATACTTTACACTATATAAACTGAATGTTGTACATTCAGTTAACTGGAGGCCTCATCAATATTAGAACCTTGCAAGAGTTTAAGAGAGAGGGGAAAAAAATCCCCTTCTGGAATTTGGACTAAATGCCTTTTCTAAAAAAACAAAACAAAAAAAAGGACCACCATGAAATGCTGTTACCTACCTCAGCATAAGTTAGATGCATGTGTTCATAACAGCCTCAAGCTCTTTTGTCTTAAATAAATACTTTTATTAAGAACTATATCTATATGAATTGGTAACGTCCATTCCAGTTAAAAGCCAACATAACAATGAAGAATAATGTTAAAGCACTAACATTACAATGAACTCAATAAAACGGTGCTCTAGATAGAAAAGGTAACAGAAAAATTTCCTTTCCTCAAATGAAAAATTGTACTAATCCAGAGAATGAAACCAAATAGCTATAAATTCAAGACAGACAAAAGAAACTACTTCTTCACTCAACACTTTGTGTTGTGTCACTTTGTGTGAGATGGGCGGCTATATAAATATGATAAATAAAATAAACATAATTAATTTACAGAATTTGCCAAATAAAATGTGATGGATTTAAAATGGAATTAGATACATGTAGAAGAAATGAGACTTATTGCTAGCTGTTATTCATGACAACAGTAAAACTATCACGTAGGAGGTTAAAAATAAGCTGGTGATATCTATATAGTGAAAGGACCTTTTGGTATGTAGATATGTTTTTAAACAAAATATTTTTAATTTAAAGACAAACAGATTTAAAAAACCCCAATGTGGACCTTTAAGCTTTCAAAACTTAAATAATCTTGCAGGCAATTGTACCCTTCATTATTTGAGATGGAGCTTCCAGGTTCATATAGAATGCCAAAAATCTTTACAGCTAACTTTGCGTTTGAAAAGATGCAGCAGATATACTAAAATATTGGATTTCTTTATTATATTCTATAAACAGCTCTCACTTTTGCCTCCAAGGAAGAATTGTGTCTGAAGGAAACATATTTTTACATACATACATATATACAGAGTGTGTGTGTGTGTGTGTGTACACACACACACACACACATACTATAAATAGTTTTATTAAGACTTTGGATTATAATAGTAAATCTAATACAAACTAAATTTAAAGAAAGAGAAGAGAAAGAAAGAGTAAAAGGTGTAAGGAAAAAGAAAAAAAGAAAAGTAAGAAAATAATAAAGAGAAAAGAAAAATATAAAGAAGTACTTCCAATCTTCATCACAACAAGTATAAACAAATTTAGTGACTCTTCACCTAAAGGATACAAACAATTATCTGTTCATTCCATATCCCATCTCTTATCTATAAAAAAATCCATAAAGCATCATATTTTCAGTGCTGGTATCAATAGAAAATCCATAAAGGGTTGCTAGAAGTAACAACATATCTTGTTTTATCCTTGATTAAATAAATCAACAGTATATTCCTTTTGTTTTTACCTCTAACAGTCTTAATCTTTAGTTCATTCAAGTATTGTCGTAGGATTTGATTTCTCTTCATTTCTTCTTTGTCCCATCGCACAGAGTTAACAAACCACTTTTGTAAATCCAACAGGAAAAAATTGTCCAGGTCCGCTCTCTTGGTTTATTATTTGTATTTCCCTTTCGAATTTTAAAACATCAGCCAGTTTCTTTTGTAGATCCAGTGAAACAGCCTTTTCCAAGTCATTCTCTTGGCAGTTGTAAATCCAGTTTTGATACCATCTCTATCTCGTCAGATCAAATCTGTTCTACATCTATCATTTCTTCAGTAACATCTTTTGGATATAGTCTGTCCATAGAAGCAGACATTGTTGCTTACATTGTTAATATTGTGGCTACTGATTTCTCCATTCTTCAAAAGTCTCCTTCAGTATTTCAGTGTTATAACGTTTTGCATCATTTTATAGGCTTGTATTTTTTTCCTCTACCTAAATTATTTAGTCCCCTATAGTGTCCAGTTTTCAAAATCATGCAATTACTTATCTTTGTTATGTCTTGCAAAAAACCAAAACAGGATCTATTTCCCACAAGAAGCTGTTTGTTCTTTATAATTAATTCCAAAAGCTTATTGCAAAAGTTTCAATATTCCAAATTTATCTGGACCCTTAATCCATTTATAACTTTCTAAGATCAAA